GCAAACTCTAGCTTCAACCCGAAATGGTGCCCCCTGAAGGGGTCAATACGTAAATACTGGCAAACAACAGGCTAAATGTAGAATAACTAACGTTTCAAGTATAAGACCCAAACATAGGGTGATACATACGTTTATACCCCCCCCCCCCCCCCCGTCTTTGAAATACATACAGGTATATATGCTTGGAAAATATCCGATCCATAGGTCATTTGATCAAATCAATAAAATAATGGTGGACTTGGTTCATAACTTTCCCCTTATCCGAGTATCCGACCCATTGTTTAGCTTCCCACTATAACCTAGGGTTCATTATATCCATCGAGTGTTAATAGCCTTACTCAACCACCGGACCACTCTCTCGATAATCACAAGTTCTAAGGACACCACCTGGTCCAGGGTATTTCGCCCCTAATATCCGAGCTTTAAGGACACCTCTTGGTCCCTGGGTACTCCACCCGACATAACTGAGTTTTAAGGACATCGCCTGGTCCCAGGGTGCTCCACCCGAACCTATGTGTTTTGAGGACAACGTCCAGTCTCTGGATACTCCACCCGGTCTTGTGATCTACCATATACTTCACCTGGTTATGGTCTATATCATATCATCACTAACAATTAATTCAAGCTATAGCATTTAATCATCATATATCACGCCTTAGCATTTAATCATCATAATTCATGCAATTCCATGTAAAATATACATATATAGGATGGTCGGGGTTAATCCCCCTCGAATCGGGCCTAGATACACGTTTTCGATATAAAAAAAATAGGTATCAGAACCAGTAGGTTAACCGGCGCCGGTTAAGTGAATATTTCTCTTGAACCGGCTGGCAGTGGCCAAACCGGCACCAATTTCGACCCCTGGCCAGCGTCGGTCCACTGCCTGCCTCAGGTCAACGACCCGAACATTCTCTGGTTGCTCCGATACTTATACACAATATGTATTAAGTCTCAAAAAATCAATAAATGTCATTTTGGTCATTCAAAACATCAACTATGTTTTTATATGCATTTTCATTCAATCACATGCATAATATACCTTTTTAGTTCACATAAGCCTACTCACTTTGGCTAATCACATGCTTAAACTCTTTTAAAATCATCATGAATGCATATAACATTTATTTAGGTAATATCACATTTAACCCATGAGTTATAAGACATTAAGCCGTCCACTAACCTTGAACAAGCTTTAAGAAGTTCCACCCTCCTCGGTTGAACTCCAGCGAAACTCCGGCGAACTTTGTTAACTCTGACGACAATTCTGGTGACTTTTCCAACCCTATGAAAGCACTAATAACACCTTAGACAAGTTCCTAACAAGGTTTTAACCTCCCAAAACTCATATTAATACCAATAACCTCTAAAAGGTTATTTTCCGACAAACCAGTTACTTTGGTTTCTAAGTCTGTTCTTGGACTTAGAACCATCTCCCAACTCCTCATTCTATACTTCTAAACATGTAGAACAATCTTAGGGGTCCTCCATATGATGTATAAGTCATATGAGAAATAAATTAGAGAAGAAAAGTTGCTAAAGAGTTTCTCACCTTTATTTCCAAGGTTTTTTTCACTTATTTTCTCTCTTCTTCGTTCTCCTTGGGACTCTCCTTTGTTGAGCTCAACCTTCTATGAAAGTTGCAGGGATTTCCTCTCTTTTTGGCTCATTCATCAAATGACAGAGAAGAGAAAAGCTCACCCATGTCTCCATAAGATGCCTATCACCTCAAGTCTCCTTCTCTCTCCTTCCTAGCAATAGTTGGCCGTCGTTTTGGCTGCTAATGAGTGTATTATTTCGTGGGTTGATGGTCCCCACTAATGTGGGAGTCACCCCTTTAAGTCCCGAAATGTACATTCGGTCACGAAAGTTGTACTTCTCGGACTATTTTAATTATATTTTATTTTATCAGGCCAAATAAAATATATATCAAATTCCCAATCACTATAGGCCGTTTGAATGAATAAGCATGCCCCATCTTTAATTTAGAAGTCCATGTAATTTATTATAGGTTGTTATCAGATAAATTGTCAATAATGGTACTTGGATATCGTTTGATCAAGAGTAACTTTTATGCATTTTCTATAGCCCAACAAGAATATAATATCCACCACCATATAAATATTATTATGACCAGGATGAATTTAATATATGGTCCCGGAAACACCGGGTGGTCCCCGCTCCCGTTGTGGGCCCATGTGCATTTCACTGTTCACGTAAAAGTAATAACCAAAATTTACGATCTCGTAAATTCATTAACCATTTCTCAAAATTCAATACATAATTTATCTAAAAATAATATATTTGGGGACAATTTTATATAATTGCTCCCACAAAGTCAACCTCAACCGTTTGCAGTGGCGGAGCCATGATCTAGAGTCAGTGGTGTCAATTGAGAAAATAATTATTCTATCAAAATGTGTAAATATTATAAAGAAAAATAACAAAAATTGTCATTTATAAAATTGAAATGCTAATTCGAAATTGTGTGCGCCGCATTTTCATATTTTAAAAACGTTATACATTTTTTTCTATCAAGTGTCGATCAATTGATTCAAACTTTTTTTGGATTATCCCAAAATATGTGTCATGTTTCTTCTTTTAAAAAATGTGTGGTCTATAACATTTCATTTTATTATACTCAAACTTGATTAACACTATTAGTTTTTCAATCAGTTTATTATAATTGTGTCTGTTGGGTAAATGGCCCAAACAGGGGTTCGGCCCAATCACCCCCAAACCGATGTACGTCGCCTAACCCACGGGTGACCTTAGCCCAGTGGAGATAGGACGAACGTCGGTGTCCCAGATAGCCGCACATAGTCCCTGCCGAGGGTCAATTGACAGACTCCCGACGAACGTCGTCAGCCGAGGCTCATCTCCGTAGATGGCCCAAATCCAGAAGATCGTTTCACTCTATCAAGGGCCGCAGACGAGCGGCCCCCAGCCTTCCACTGCCTGCTGAGAGTTGCCCTCAGTTCTACCAGACGATCATGGTCAGGAATTAGGCGGGGAACCCAGATTCTGGCGGGAAGCGCATTTAATGCTGGAGATTTGGTGGTTGGACCACAGCCACTAACAATCCTCCACGTCATCAGGACTAACTGCCCATTGGCGGGTATAAATAGTAGCATTTATTTCATTGTAAAGGGTTGGCAACTTTCTATTCTCAGCATCCTAGCTTTAGCATTCTTACTTGCAGCATTCCTACTGCCTTGTAAGACGAACGGCCGACGTGCCTTTTTAGCAAGTAGATTGTACTTAGGGGAGTTATTACGAAGTTAATAATACCTATTTACATTGCCTGCTATTTTCCTCTGTTTTCCTGATCCATCCGATAGTTGTTGGGCTAGATATTCATACACTCACTCCACTCGAAATCTTTGGGCTTACATGTTGGGCCCGAGGGTTGAAGGGATAAACCTCAACACTGGCGCCGTCTGTGGGAAACTGAACAAAAAGTTTCCAGAAACTCTCCCAAACAGCTACTAAATCTACCTACAGCAAGCACGATGTCAGGAAGCAACAACCAGCGTGACCTCTCCGAGCGTCTGGAGTCAAGCCGCCGGAATCGCGGCCAGAACTCGTAGCTGTCTGCGACAATATGGACCTCCGGGGGAAACGGGGGTATCATTGACCTCATTCCCCTGGAGGCCAGGCAGGACCCCCGCCTCATGCGGGAACTCGCTGACACCATGCACCGTTTGGCAGACGAACGGGAGGCTCAGGAGCAGGTGTACTCTGCAAGCACCCAGCGAACACCCCTCTCTCCCATCCGCCGTATGCAGTCGTACGATGATACGACAGGGTCCAGCGACCACCGGCCCTCGGTCCATGAGCGGCTAGGTGGAGGTTCAGGCTCCCGTGGAACGGGAGGGCGAACCAAAATCAGCATCGCTGCACTCAGGGCGCACACGCCATCAGTTCCCCGCCAAGTCTCGCGAGGGGACAAAACCCCAAGGATCAACACCGTTGGACGACGTTTCCAGCGACGAGGTGCGCAAATCCTTAGGCGGCCGCACGGAGCTGTGGCTGCTCAGCAAAACGCCGTCCTCGAGGCCGTGCCCCCTGTGTCCCCCGGAAGGGCCGCGCAGGATGCAAGGTTGGAAGCAATGGAGCGGCAGATAGCCGAGGCCCATCTCCGTAGATGGCCCAAATCCAGAAGATCGTTTCACTCTATCAAGGGCCGCAGACGAGCGGCCCCCAGCCTTCCACTGCCTGCTGAAAGTTGCCCTCAGTTCTACCAGACGATCATGGTCAGGAATTAGGCGGGGAACCCAGATTCTGGCGGGAAGCGCATTTAATGCTGGAGATTTGGTGGTTGGACCACAGCCACTAACAATCCTCCACGTCATCAGGACTAACTGCCCATTGGCGGGTATAAATAGTACTCCCTCCGTCCCCTTAAGTTTGTCCCGTTTTACCTTTTTCGTCCGTCCCACTAAGTTTGTCCCATACCATATTTGGTAACATTTGAGTGGTTAGAATTCATTCTTACTTTATTTATACTTTATCAATTCAATACCAACCATACAATTCCACTTTTTCTTAAAAACCACACCACACTCCTCCGTCCCAAACTTAGGGGGACGGAGGGAGTAGCATTTATTTCATTGTAAAGGGTTGGCAACTTTCTATTCTCAGCATCCTAGCATTAGCATTCTTACTTGCAGCATTCCTACTGCCTTGTAAGACGAACGGCCGACGTGCCTTTTTAGCAAGTAGATTGTACTTAGGGGAGTTATTACGAAGTTAATAATATCTATTTACATTGCCTGCTATTTTCCTCTGTTTTCCTGATCCATCCGATAGTTGTTGGGCTAGATATTCATACACTCACTCCACTCGAAATCTTTGGGCTTACATGTTGGGCCCGAGGGTTGAAGGAATAAACCTCAACAGTGTCAAACCAAAACAAGACACATAAACTGGGATAGAGGTAGTAGTAAACTAGCAATAAGTAAAACTGTACACTTTTCAATTATTTTTAAGTTAGTGCTCCAACTTTTAAAATATATGGAAAATGGAAACTAATAATCCAACCTTTTAACAGTCTTCTTACAATAGTACCACATGTCCGTTATTCAAGAATAATCCAACCTTTGCACCCCATCTTCATTTGATGGTCCCTGACCGGTTAATGACCTGTCATTCCAAGTTATTTTCTTATCTTTGCAAAATATTATCTTTGTGAAATGTGAGATTTATGGTATAATGGTTTGTGTTGGGATATATTATCCCGGCCTATTACTGTTCAGGAGCCCAAGACAGTATCCAGTACGGAGCCCGAGCAGCTAGGCCCATCTCGGCCCATTTGACCCATTAGGGTGGAGAGCACCCTTCCCCTTTCCCCTATAAATATGAGGCTTCCCTCCATGTTTTAGGGATCCTTTTTTAGCTTCATCTCCTTCCTTTCTTTTAGACTGAGCTCAACACTCCATTAATGGGAGCTTGTACAATGTGATTGTGAGGAGAGTCCTAATGAGAAAGAGAGGGCTTGGACATTAGCCTAAAAAGTCCCGTGGTTTTCTCCCTTTCGGGTTTCCACGTAAAAACTGAGTTGTTCATACACATTTATACATATATTTACTATATCGTGTTGGATTAAACTCAACACTGGCGCCGTCTGTGGGAAACAGTCCAAAAAGATTCACGTTGTTCTTCAGCTTCGACAACAAACGTGAGACGAAGAACTGATTTTCAACAAAAAAAAAATGATACCAGACAAACTGGTCTCAACAAAACGAAGGAAAATGATTCAGGAAAGAAAGAGGAGGAAGAGTATCTGACGTGAAAGGAAAGGAAGAATTAGGGAAGAAAAATTCTAGAGATGAAAGCAGGAAGAAGATGCTGATTCCAGAGAGGAAGTGGAAGCTCGGGTCTGGATTTTCCGGACTAGGATGGACTCGCCGGAAACTACCAGATCCGCCGGGGATCCCGGACCAGCTCAGGCCGCGTCGGTGCCACATGCCAAAGACCGCCGGTCACCGAGTTTGGATGGCTTGTCCAACTCGCCATCAACCAGAGCTTCCTGGGATCTCGCCATTGATGGCGGTTTAGAGCTCCAGGGAACCAGGTTTTGCGGACGGAGGAAAGCCTCCACGGACGCCTCCGATCTGCCGTGACACCATCACCGCCATGAGTCAGCGGCCGACGCTTGCTTGGCCTCGGTGGGGTGCTTCCGCCTGACACTGCACAAGGCGCCATTCACTCGGCTGAGGGCGAACCACGTAGGAGGGGACCAAATCTGAAAAGGGAGTTAGCAGATGGGTGAAGCACATGGTATTAACTGAGTGGGTCAACCAGCTGCTAAGTATGTACCCTGTATTTCGGCCAAACTACTCTAAGGAGCTAAGTACCGTATAACTCCCTCCTATTTTATTAAAGTACTCCTGTTAGATAATAGAAATATTGCTAAATAATTTTTATCACCATTATTTATTAGGAAATAAAATCTACTAAAATTAAATAATGTCGAGCGATGCTCTTGTGATAATTATTTTCACCGTCATTTAAATTAAATGACCGGTTGTGTGGGCCCGTTGGCCCGCTCCTGATCGGCTTTAATTAGCAAACGGAGCATACCTGAATGACCTTTGATAGGAGAATATCATTGTTACTACCCGTACATCACCATTATTTGTTAGGGATAAAAATGTCCCGAAATAAATAATGCCGAGCGAAGCTCTAGTGATAGTTAGTTTGGCCAACATTTTATTAAATGTTTAATTGTCGGTGGGCCCGATTAGCCCACTCTCGATCGGCTTTGACTAGCGATTTGAGCGTCTCCAAAAGGGCGATGCCCCGACGACGCATTTTAATCGGAGGGTTGCGCGTTAGTCCGCACGGCACTACGTGCCCGATCGACGACCGTACCCCAGAACCATCCGCGCCACTAGGCGCGAAGTGACTATTGCCGAACGTGGCCTATGGGGCCCGAGGGCACCAAAGCACTCAACCTCGTTTTTCCGAGGGCAGTGCGACCAACTTGGGTCTGAGTTTGAAAACTCACAGACCGATGAATATCTCGATGTGACGTTCGACGGGCTGCTAATTGGCCCCGCCACGAGCTGTTACGTACATTAACCCCGCACGATGAGCCGGGCCGAGGGTCACGATGACCCATAGGCCGGTAATCGTGGATGTTAAAGGGAAAGCCATGCATAGTTATGTGTGCATATTTATTGTCGAGCCGTGCGGCCCGTTACCATGCTTATTGCGCAGCTGAAATCACTCGACGCGCTCGAGTGAAATGATTAAAAGACGCTCGGCCCGAGTCTTGAAGACGTTCAGGGCCAGCTAAAGAGGAGACCACCACGGCTGAGGACCGTGAGGCGAGCATCTCTACCCCAGAGACTGATGGCCTAGGAGAGAACACCTAGAGGCCGAGGGTCTATAGTGGACTACCATGGCGGAGGACCGTGAGACGAGCATCTCCACCAGAGACCGATGGCCTAGGAGAGAACACCTAGAGGCCGAGGTCTATAGTGGACTACCACGGCGGAGGACCGTGAGATGATCATCCATCATTCAGAGGCCGAGGGCCTAGAGGAGACCATCACGGCCGAGGGCCGTGGGACCATCCTGATTTTCAGGTCGGCCTCTCATCGCCGACATTATCATACCACGACCGGCCCCTCGGCTCGGCGTGTTCATCTTTTGAAGACCGACCTCGTCCCCGCGCTGCGCGGATGAGGACCGTTGTTTGGTTCTTTCATGTCGGCCTCTCATTGCCGACACCGTCGTACCACGACCGGCCTCTCGGCTCGGCGTGCCTATATTTTGAAGACCGGCCTCGTCCCCGCACTGCGCCGATGAGAGCCGTTGCTGAATTGCAGGTCGACCCTCATTGCCGACACTGCCACATCATGTTCGGCCTCTCATCGCCGACATCATTATATCACGACCGGCCTCTCGGCGCGGCGTGATTATCATCCTCTGAAGACCGGCCTCGTCCCCGCGCTGCGCGGACGAAGACCGTTGCTGGATTTCTTTCAGGTCGGCCTCTCATCGCCGACATCATTACATCACGATCGGCCTCTCGGATCGGCGTGATTATCATATTCGAAGACCGGCCTCTTCCCCGCCACCTCGCGGACGAGGACCGTTGCTTGACCATATCTTGATCGACATCTCATTGCCGACATCATCATATCACGACCGGCCTCTCGGCATGGCGTGATTATCATATTTGAAGACCAGCCTCGTCCCCGCCCTCACGGACGAGGGCCGTTGCTTGATTTTCTCAGATCGGCCGATCATTGCCGACACCATTTTATCACGACCGGCCTCCCGGCTCGGCGTGCTTTCCATATTTGAAGACTGGCCTCGTCCCCGCCCCTCGCGGACGAAGGCCGTTGCTTGATTCTTTCAGGTCGGCCTCTCACTGCCGACACTATCATATTATGTTCGGCCTCTCGGCACGACATATTTATCTTTTGAAGACCGGTTCCATCCCCGTGATGCGTTGGATGAGAGCCGTTACTCGGATATATCGGCCTGACCGGACACTATTGCCATCTCCATTATTAGGACCGACTCCTCAGTGACATTATGATCATTGTATATCGGCTCCCAACGCCGACCTTCTTGAGTTACCGATCGGGCTCACCCCTCCCTCCAGGAGGGTGACCATCGCCTTCGCGTGACGACCAGCTATTCTATCGCCTCGTCATTATATTCGTTCGCTATGCCACCACCATTATGTGTGACATCCCGTGATTCCTGCGAGTTTCTTGGATACCGAATGTCTTCTTCGATGTAGGAAGATCGGTAGGACCACAGACCAGGGACGGACTAAGAAGAGCTAGGGAATCTCGATGTAGATAAACCTGTTCCTCCTTGCGAGTTTCGAGGATACCGGACGTCTCTTCGAAGCAAGAGCGCCGGTAGGACCAAGAACCAAGGACGAACGAAGAATATAGATTGCCTCCCTCAAAAAAAAAAAGATGGGGAGAAGAGGAGGGTAGCTCCTATGTGGAAGGGAATCTTGCCCGGGCGTGCCAGATCTTCTCCCACCGCCGAAGACGAACGCCTCTCGATGTAGAGGTTAGTAGAGACGCGGAGGGGGCTAGACGAACCAAGGGAGCTTTGCCAAGATAAACCTGTTTATCCCACAATGACCATGGATCGATGGACGTGGGATAACAAAGTCGGGAACCCGTGAGGGTAAACCAGTTCGTCCCTGCGAGTTCCTTGGGTACCGAACGTCTTCTTCGAAGCAAGAGACGCCGGTAAGACTAAAAGGACCACGGACGAACGAAAAACGGGGGAATCTCGATGTAGATAAACCTGTTCCTCCTTGCGATGTCTGCGGATACCGAACGTCTCCTCGAAGTAGGGACGCCGGTAGGACCAAGGACCAAGGACGAACGAAGACTAAAAGACTCCAAAAAAAAAAAGATGATGCCAGAAGAGCACGGAGCAAAGAATGATTTTATCCCTCGGCGCTATTGGCCGGGAAGTACAAACTGGAAAACATATGTAAAGAATAATTACAAAACTTAAGTACGAAGAATGAAGTGGCCGACGACGATCGGCTAACATCAGGCTTTCTTTTTCCTTGGACAAACAATACCGGCTCCCCAGTTCAGACAGAGGGACGACGCCCAGGTCCACCCTTCCTCCAAGGATGAAGTCCTGGAAGACGATCGACTTCTCATAGCCAGCCAAGACGGACCGCACCTGGCTTCACGGTTTGGAACGCGCACCTCTTCCAGGATGGCGACGACCGTCTTATGCAGTACGATCGGCCCCTCAGTGCCATCGTACCCAGCTAATGTTCAGCTCGCCCATCCCTTCCAGGGTGGCGACGAACGTCTTATGCAGTGCGATCGGCCCCTCAGCGCCATCGTACCTGGCTTCACGGTTCGGCTCGCCCATTCCCTTCAGGATGGCGACGACCGTCCTATGCAGCACGATCGGCTTCTCAGCGCCATCGTGTCTCTTTCACGTTCGGATCGCCCCATTCCCTCCAGGATGGCGACGAACGTCTTATGCAGTGCGATCGGCCCCTCAGCGCAATCGTACTTGGCTTCACGGTTCGGCTCGCCCATTCCCTTCAGGATGGCGACGACCGTCCTATGCAGCACGATCGGCTTCTCAGCGCCATCGTGTCTCTTTCACGTTCGGATCGCCCCATTCCCTCCAGGATGGCGACGAACGTCTTATGCAGTGCGATCGGCCCCTCAGCGCCATCGTACTTGGCTTCACGGTTCGGCTCGCCCATTCCCTTCAGGATGGCGACGACCGTCTTTATGCAGCACGATCAGCGCCCCAGCGCCATCGTGTCTGGCTCACGTTAGGGTCGCCCGTCCCTTTCAGGATGGCGACGAACGTCTCTTATGCAGCACGATCAGCGCCCCAGCGCCATCGTGTCCGGCTCACGTTAGGGTCGCCCATCCCTTTCAGGATGGCGACGAACGTCTCTTATGCAGCACGATCAGCGCCCCAGCGCCATCGTGTCTGGCTCACGTTAGGGTCGCCCATCCCTTTCAGGATGGCGACGAACGTCTCTTATGCAGCACGATCAGCGCTCCAGCGCCATCGTGTCCGGCTCACGTTAGGGTCGCCCATTCCCTTCAGGATGGCGACGACCGTCCTATGCAGCACGATCGGCTTCTCAGCGCCATCGTGTCTCTTTCACGTTCGGATCGCCCCATTCCCTCCAGGATGGCGACGAACGTCTTATGCAGTGCGATCGGCCCCTCAGCGCCATCGTACTTGGCTTCACGGTTCGGCTCGCCCATTCCCTTCAGGATGGCGACGACCGTCCTATGCAGCACGATCGGCTTCTCAGCGCCATCGTGTCTCTTTCACGTTCGGATCGCCCCATTCCCTCCAGGATGGCGACGAACGTCTTATGCAGTGCGATCGGCCCCTCAGCGCCATCGTACTTGGCTTCACGGTTCGGCTCGCCCATTCCCTTCAGGATGGCGACGACCGTCCTATGCAGCACGATCGGCTTCTCAGCGCCATCGTGTCTCTTTCACGTTCAGCTCGTCCATCCCTTCCAGGGTGGCCACGAACGTCTTATGCAGTACGATCGGACCCTCAGCGCCATCGTACCCAGCTCACGTTCAGCTCGTCCATCCCTTCCAGGGTGGCCACGAACGTCTTATGCATCACGATCGGCTTCAGCGCCATCGTGTCTGGCTCACGTTAGGGTCGCCCATCCCTTTCAGGATGGCGACGAACGTCTTTATGCAGCACGATCAGCGCCCCAGCGCCATCGTGTCTGGCTCACGTTAGGGTCGCCCGTCCCTTTCAGGATGGCGACGAACGTCTCTTATGCAGCACGATCAGCGCCCCAGCGCCATCGTGTCCGGCTCACGTTAGGGTCGCCCATCCCTTTCAGGATGGCGACGAACGTCTCTTATGCAGCACGATCAGCGCTCCAGCGCCATCGTGTCCGGCTCACGTTAGGGTCGCCCATCCCTTTCAGGATGGCGACGAACGTCTCTTATGCAGCACGATCAGCGCTTCAGCGCCATCGTGTCTGGCTCACGTTAGGGTCGCCCATCCCTTTCAAAATGGCGACAAACGTCTCTTATGCAGCACGTCTGCATCTCGGCGTTGACATGCCCGGTTTATCGATGAGAGCCACCACTTTCTATCACATCTCACATTCCTTCTCTCATACATTGCACCCATACATTACATGCATTCATGCATTCATGCATCATACCTCATACATTCATACATACGCACGTGCATCATGATTTGACAGTACCGTGACGTCGGTTTGTAGATGCATGGACCTCTAAGCTTCTCCGATTGGAAAGCTCGAGTCAGAGTGCTTTACTCCCGCCTGATGCATTCAGGCGGAGTGTGCCCGTGGAGGAGCACCCTTCGCCCGACCCTGTCGGGAAGGGGGGTGCCTCACTGGTAGATTACGTTCAAGAGTGCAGACACTCACTCATATATTATGATTATGTGAAGACACAGTTTCCAGCAAGACAGAGGAAGAGCGCAGGCAGGAGTATACTTTCTCGAGCAGATTCGCACGCTCACTACTCAAGAAACTGGGGGACTTGTGTTGGGATATATTATCCCGGCCTATTACTGTTCAGGAGCCCAAGACAGTATCCAGTACGGAGCCCGAACAGCTAGGCCCATCTCGGCCCATTTGGCCCATTAGGGTGGAGAGCACCCTTCCCCTTTCCCCTATAAATATGAGGCTTCCCTCCATGTTTTAGGGATCCTTTTTTAGCTTCATCTCCTTCCTTTCTTTTAGACTGAGCTCAACACTCCATTAATGGGAGCTTGTACAATGTAATTGTGAGGAGAGTCCTAATGAGAAAGAGAGGGCTTGGACATTAGCCTAAAAAGTCCCGTGGTTTTCTCCCTTTCGGGTTTCCACGTAAAAACTGAGTTGTTCATACACATTTATACATATATTTACTATATCGTGTTGGATTAAACTCAACAGTTTGTGAAGGTAAGAAAATAACTTAGGATAGCATGTCATCAACCGGTCAGGGACCAGTGAATGAATATGAGGTGCAAAGGTTGGATTATTCATGAATAATGAAAAAGTGGGACTATTGTAAGAAGACCGCTAAAAGGTTGGATTATTAGTTCTCATTTTCCCTAAAATATATACATCGACCTCCATTTTTTAAATGATTGTGTCAAATTTTAATTTTTGAATGATTATATATTTATACTTCAGAGGAATGCTCAGGTTCAGCCGACGGGACGGAAGCCACCGTCCTAACTCAGCCGTTTGGGGCGGTTTCCCGTTGAATTTTTTGATGAAATTTTTTTAGCATGTTCCTCATCAAGTCTAGTGTGTCCATACCAAATTTCAGCTTAAAATTCGACCGAGAAGGCATCCAAATAATTTTTTGAAGTTGACTGCGCCAAAATATACATATAAAAACGCAGTCACCTTCAAAAAATGATTTGAATGCCTTCCCGATCGAATTTTGAGCTGAAATTTGGTATGCACAAACTAGACTTTATGAGTACCATGTTAAAAAAAATCATCAAAATAGATAAATTTCATCGGATTGCGGCTGGACATTGGAGGGCTGGACCTGAGCATTTCTGTTATACTTCGTATATTGTTTTTTTAGAAAATTCTCTAAATAGGACCAAAACATAGATAAAATTTATAAATAGGAATATCAATGTTTTATTAGGACCCATTCACTCCTATTTTGGAAATTTTAATCATGTTATTCTTTTGATAGAACTAAATAAACCCTATTTGGAGAATAAAACACAATCATTCCTATTTGTTTTACTTTGTGTATGTTTTAGTCTTATATTAAACAATTTTTATTTTTCCCAATGGTGTCAACTTTAATTTTTTGAAAAATTATATATACCTATATACTCCGTATGAAAGAAAAAAAGTTGAGTGGTGTCATTGACACCACAACTCAACCACAACTCATAGGCTCCACCACTGACTGTTTGTATTTATGGCTCTGATCCGAGCTAAACCGTGAGGGTAACTACTCCCTCAAAGCTCAACTGTTTACCAGCTTTATACTAACAGAAAATGTTACCTCATATATACTTCATTAAATAAAGAGAAAAGGTACATATATACCCCTGTGGTATAGGTGGAGGAACAAATATACCTCTGTTCTATTTTTCGGAACAAATATACCCTGAACTTTTAAAAAGGTGCAAAAATATCCCTCTTTTTTATATAGGAGCAAATTAATCCTTATTGACTTTAAATTAATCAAATAAATTTCAAAAAAGACCAAAAAAAAAATAATAAATCAAAATTAAAAAATAAAAATTTTAAAAATGTAATTGTGTCCATTTCTCCCTTTATTGTTTTTATATCATAATTTAATATTTTTATAAAATATTATTTCAAAATATGTAATTTTATAGTGCAAAGAATGCAAAAAATTAATTTTTCTCTACATTACAAAACATATGTTGCACCTTTTCGAAAGAATCTTAAATATATAGTAAAATTTTGAATTGATTTAGTTCATGCTTAAACAATATTTAATTGTGATATAAAAACTATAAAAGGGAGGATTAGACACTATTTCATTTAAAAAAATTGTTTTTAAATTTCGAATTTATAATTTATTTTTGGTGTTTTTTGAAATTTATTTTATTAATTTAAAGTCAATAAGGATTGATTTGCCCCTTTATAAGAACATGAGTGATATTTTTGCACATTTTTAAAAGTTTAGGGGTACATTTATTCCGAAAAATAGAACGAGAGTATATCTGTTCTCACACCCATACTACAGGGGTATATTTGTACCTTTTCCCTTAAATAAATTAAATGCTATTAACTTCATGTGACCTATTTTTCAAGATTATATTCTCTCAAAAAAAGATTATATAGCTACTTTTCTCAATAAGGATGTTTTACACATTTACTTAAACTCTTTTCAATCCCAAACCACAATATATAAAACTAGATTTGGACCAGCCCAGTTGAAATCAGAATAGATAAAATCAGATTTGGACCAGCCCAGTTGAAACCAGATCAGACTAGAATTAACACAGTATAATTCTAATAGCAAATGCCACATTGACAAGAACTACATGATATTTTCCAAATTCTACCCTAAAATAATTTAGTCTTAGCTAAACTACTCACGAAACACGTTCATATGAGTTGGTACAGTTAAAAATGTATTAAAATTACGAAATGCAGAGTAAAAAGCCTACTAGACATTCATCACATTGATCACACTAGCCATGTCAAGTTCTTCACTACACGTACGTAACACCGGCCATACATATTCTGGTTATCACCAGTCTCGCAGACGTGGAACAACTGCTAAAGGCAAATAGAAGAAAATAAGAAAAGTATGTGTCAATTCAAGAATAAGGGCTCCCAAGTCCCAATGGCTGGGACAATAGTATGTGTCACGAACAAGTTTCCAAATTTAAGAATATAATAAGAAAATATTACAAATAAAGACTCCACATGAATAACCAACATGTGATATTAGCTCATTAAACTAATCCTCTTTTTCTTGGATTTTTTGGATTAACCAATTTGCCCCTTCGTCTCAATATGTTTGGAATGAAGTAGACTTGTGTTATTGAAAGTTATCCAGAACAGAAAAATGATACAAACCGAAATTTATTGGCATGAAAGGATAATGAAGATTACTTCGACACCAACGAGAAAGGAAAGCATGAAGATTATTATGGGCCGGAGGGAGAATGTAAAAATATACGAAAAGGATGGCTTATTACTAGGTACATTTCAATAATGATTGAGTGATAGATCTCTCATATTCGATGCCATGAGAAATATTTTAGTCAATATAAAAAGTTCACTGAAATGGGAAACAACATAACGCATTAGTTTCTAACAATATTTCAAGCTTTCGAGCAAAAAATCAATATTTCAAGCTTATGCATATCTCCTTTGAAAATGTTATGTTTGTCTTGACATAATAATAACAATAACAACAACAATAACAAATATAATAATAATAATAATATTATTATTATTATTGTTATTGCTGTTGTTGTTATGATATGCTCGTAACAAGTATAGAAGCTATAGTATACTAATAGTCTAATAATAACATAAAATAGATCAGAGGCAAAATTATCTAAAGATGTGATAGATTTTTTTTTTCAAAATTTAGAAAGGAAAGGTACCTCTATTCCCAGATGCATCCCTGCAAAATCCCAGCTTCAGGTAATGTTTTGACATGTGGTCAAACACTTGAGCATAGAAAGTAACCTCTTTGTTGCTTGACATAGTATCTTCGGCTTTGAAAGTAATATAGTATGTTTGAGCAGGTGATGTTGCACTCTTAATAGCATCCACTATTTCCTTGAATTGGAGGGTAGGCTTTGATTCCTGGTCAATTTCACAAGTGTAAATTTAACACACCATCATATCTATCTTTAGAAAGACATTATCAAAACCAAGTACCTCCTTTGCAGTATAATGAAATAAGGCATATTTAGCACAAAACTCGACTCTTCGGAATTCTTCTTTCTTCCTAAGATCTACTGGGCAAAGGGTGCCGGCGAACACAAGCAGTGGTAAAGACTACGAATAGGCAAGCAAGAAGGTAAAACAAACACAACATCAGCATTGCTAGGAAAAAAGAATTAGATAAGCAAGGTAAAACTAATTCACGTGCTTTGCTTTTTTTCATTTGTTCAAAATGGGGATTGAAGCGCTCCTTGAGTTCAACATCCTCGAACTGAATCACATCGTCCTCTGATTGTACGTATTTTGTTTCTTCAGAATCATAATTATACATCATCCATCTCGGAATAACTGCAAAGAAAAAAAATCGTTACCATTTACTAAAAACTTATCCAAAGCAAATCATTCAAAATGAACTAGTATATCTTCAATTTAAAGAGATTGCAATCAGCTAATCTGAATCAACATATGATATCAAAGTTAAAAAAATTCTACCTCCATCCAAAATTGATTTGCAATGTCCAATTTTTTTGGTCAAACATTTAATTTTATTCACTTAATTAGGATACATATTTTTAATTATATTCTAATTTGGATTTTACAACTTTATAGAAATCCTAATGTAGTTTTTGAATATGTAAATTTTATTTATTAAAAATTGAATTGATTATCGCATAAATAATTCAACTATTAAAGCTCTTCTAATATTAATCCTAAATATATGTAATTCTGAAATAATCTCAAATTTACAAGTAGTCTTCCCATATTGATCCAGGTTACCTGTGACCTATTAAACAGGTAAATAAAAAAAAAGATGAATAACCGTTGTGTATTAATGATCACAAACATTTTGTCTTAATGATCACAAACATTGTGTCGTAATGATAATATATAGTAACGGTTGTAACTGATGAGAATTAATTGTCTCCTACACGCCCCTGCAAGCTAGGTATTCAATCACCCTCAAGGATCCTAAACTTTTTTTTCCAGAAGAGCCGCAAAAGCAGTTCAATGTGAATATCATCTAGTTGATGACGAGATGGGATGTGATGAACTCAAAGAAGCCCACATTAGAAGCGTTGACGGACAAAAGAAAGGGTCTACAAGAATAGCTTTTGGCATTTACAATACGTGTACCAAATCCGTAATATGTTTATGTTGATCAAGAAAGAGCCCATCTCGTGTAGGAGTAACTTGCATACCTGAAAAATAATGCAAGGATCCTACACTCTCGATAGAGAACTTGTATGCTAAGGAATCAATAGTCTTACGAATCAACACGTAGATGTATGATCATGAGAAGAAAATACAAATAGAATGGCTAAAAGCAGAGGTGTTGATTCCTATGCTATAGAGCAGAGGCATACACAATCAGCTCTAAGCAACGAAGCATGTTGAGGCATTCAGAATAGGCGTTTAAGAATATTTGTGGGCCATAGGGCCCACTTTTAATTTTTAGTTTGTAGGTAATATTATTAAAGACCTATTGCCAATAGACTGGCAATTCCAGGTCTCGGCTTCTGCTTAAACCTTTGTCATATGGAAGTTCGACTTGCGTTGCTTGTTCTTCATCTGCGCATCACAGGACTCCCAAGCAAAAGATATGTGTTCCTTCTTCTTCACTGTGTTGTAATAGGTATTGATGTTTCAGGCTTTTAAGCATCTCATTTAACTATGAATATTATTTTCTTCAAGTATTAATGGTAACTTCAATGTTTTCCATCATTTTAGAAAGTAAGATATTCTATGATTATCATACTTTTAATCAGGAAAAATATATTAATTACAGGTAGTAAATTATTTTATCGTATCTTTGATGCAGAAAGTTAATACTATTTGTTATCATAATATTAATATTAAGATTAATGTTGACAAATCTTTCTCCTGACGACTGAGCGGCATCCTGATGCCGCCGGCGGAGGGGCTCGCGTTAGAGCCGGGCACATCAAGATTCACCTACGCAGCGGCAGTAAGGGATCCCATCCCCAGCCACCGTCTCCAATCTGAATCAGTCTCCTTCTCTGCCATTGACTTACAGAGTCTACAAGCCAAGTCCAGGTGATCCAAAGGTTTCCTAATCAGCCAAGTTCATACATATAAACTGCCCAGTTAACTTCAAGAAATTATTTGAGTGCCTTCCCGATTGAATTTTTAGCTGAAATTTGGTATGAATAAACTAGACTTCATGAAGAACATGCTCAAAAAATTTCATCAAAAAATTCCACCGGGAAGTGCCCGAAATGCCCTCGGCCGGACAGAGCATCCAGTCAGGCAGGCCTGACAGTAAGACTACTATATATATATAGGGAGCGGTTCCGGTAAGAACGGATCTTAGGAGCGAAATGAAAACGAATCTGGAGCGTTGGATTGAATTGTGTGGAACTGAATTGTGCATTTGATGAAACCGAAAAGTGCATTAGATGATATTAAAATGTGCAGAATAAAAATTTAAACTCACATTTGCATTAGGTGAAACTGAAATGTGCATAATAAAAGGTACAAAAATAACATCACATCGTACCTTTTATTCTACACATTTTAGTTTCATCTCGTGCACATTTCAAATTCAACTAATGCACAATTTAGTTTCACATAATGCCACTACATTATACCCTTTGTGCTGCACATTTCAATTTCACCTAATGCACATTACAACTTCATCTAATGCACATTGAATTTCACATAAAGCAAATCTAACGGTCCAAATTCATTCTCATTTTTCTCATAAGATATGTTCTTATTTGAACCAAAACCTGTCCGGCCTCCTCCATTTGGGGGCCTTCCCGGTGATATTTTTTGCTCAAATTTTTTGTGTATGTTCCTCATC